GAAGACTAGCAATCAACGCTATAAATATTGAAATATATTTAAAAAACTCTACATGCATATTGCCTAACGTTAGCACACAAAATTGCTAATGAATAAATTACAATATTCTAACGAAGAAGTAGAAGTTTATAAAACAAAACTGGAATCGATATATAAAACCCTCATTGAACCAGAAAAGATACCAACTGAAAATATAATAATAGAAATACCAACTACATCATCAATATCCAGAAAAAGTGAAGAAGAGTTAATAACTGCATACTCTAATGAACTAGTTAAAATTAATTATTATAGTGTTAGTTTTAAGAGGCACCAAGTGTTGTCACACTTAGATTGGAGAATTGAGAAATTATTCAATACAATATACCGGTCCTGTCTGAAACAGACTCTATCTCAATAATCAAATCACAAATAACTGCAAAAATTCGACTAATACAATTATCAGAAGAACCAGTATTTAGTAAATTCATAGTACAAATAATATCAACAACAAAAGGACATTTCAAAAGAATATCAGATATACAATAAAATCAAATATTTGTATCATTTGATAAAGATGCACATCCTTATTCACAACTTAGTGAGAAATTTCTGAAATAGAACATTTTGTAGTAAACCTAACAACTATTGAACCAAATCAAGTACTCGTACACCAAGGCACGTTCATTGGAAATAAAAAGCTCGAGAAAACCACAACCAAACTATGAGCATCATTAGCAAATAAAGACTTCTATATTATCACATTATTAGATAATTTTAATTATACATTAGACCAATCCGAAGCTCATATTTGGCACGAGTTCTCATACGTGCAAGGAAATGATCTTGTTCATTATAAATGAAAAATACCAAACTTGAAAAGAAATTAAAAAAGAAGTTGCGACACGTACAACAACAATATTACCAAGAATCGATATCCAAAGAAATTAACTTTAAAGTATTGAGTAACTGGAAACAACTTGAAGAGCAATTGAAAGAAGATTTGAAAGAAATTGAACAAATCACAAACTTTAATATTAAATATATCACCCAAAGTATCAAACAAAACAAACAAATCAAAATTAATAAAGTATAAGTGGAAACTCATAAAAATTGAAAAATATTTTGATATATACTTCAAACTTGAAGGATTTCAACTTTTACCACCTAAAGAATATACAATTAAAGAATTAATTAAGAAATTTCACGGACTACGAAAAGACTTGGAAGACGAATTTCTTGAAGAAATATTAAGAAGAGAAGCAGAACATAATCCCCATAACCTATTCTCTTTATTCCACAAGGAATCAGAAACAGATCACTTAAATTACCTAATCAGAGCATCTAGAGAAATAATTGATAATACCACGAAATATTTGGACTATAACCCAAATTCAAGAGAATATACTTTTGTACACAATGAAGAACAAAGACTCAAGTGGATACGTGAAGGATTACAATCACGATTACAGTCTATGATAATAACCCTATATTGGAAAGTAACAAACCACAGTATAAGTGACCAACATTGGAAAGTAGAAACTTATCAAGAATTTAAAGAATTTCATAAACAATTTTGGAAGAAAGATTAATAACTGAAATAAAACTGAAGAGAAAATACAATTTTGACAAAATGGCCAAAAGGTGCTGCAAGTGCAGAACACCTAATGGAACTTATTCCATAAACAGTAAAACCAAAGTTTTAAATAAAACCTGTGATAAGTGCAGGGAAGAAATACAACAGTTCTACCAGAAACAATCAGTAGAAATAATAACCGACGACGAAGGAAAATTCTCATTCAAATATTTAATATGTTGCTCAACCTGTGCAAAACTACAGAAACAATCTGTATTTATTAAAGGATCAAAAAGATTAAAGACCTGTTTTAACTGTAGAAATAATTTTAGAAGGTACGAACCTGAGAAAAGAATTACTAAATCAGGAATTGTAGAAAAACATTGTCCAAAGTGTGGACACAATAAGAAATTAGAAGAATACTTGAAGTATTTGAAGAAATATAGTAAGGATATAGAGCTATAGTGCTGCAAAAATTGTAACTGTAAAGAAACTTTAAAAGTACAAAGACATACTGAAGAGGAATTCCAATTACAAAAGAAACTGAAATTGCTAAAAGAAAAAGAACTATTAGAAGAAGAAATTTATAACTTAGAATTTGAAATTCACAATACAACAATTAAACCAAGAAGATGAAGCAACTACCACTGTATAATGATCCACAATATGGAATGACATGGAAATGTACTAGCTGTAACGAATTCCAAGAAATGGAACAATATAAAGAAATTGAAAACGATCAAGAAATTTATTATGATAACTGCAGCATGTGCAAAAAACTGGAATTTATAGCACATTCTTTAGTAACACATTTAGAATTACCAGAACGAAGAATCATACAAACCACACCATTTAGGTATCACCCAGAAAAAGGATACCAGATAGGATTATCCAAAAGAATCAACCCAAAGAAAGTATTTTGGAATCATTACCAAGGATATGGAGGAAAAGGAGAATTGGATAAAAACGGAAAGCCATGCGAAAGTGATGAATATACAGCAATAAGAGAAGGCCTAGAAGAAGCCAATATCTTAATGGAAAAAGAACTACTCATTAAAGTATGGACTGAATTCAAACCAAGCTCACAAGAATGGGTAGCAGAAAAATACTGCTCATCGACAGAAGCAAAATATAAAATACGAAGAACTGTATTCATTTATCCATATAACTTATTCCAAAAATTGAAACAATGTGAACCAGAAGAAGCAACACCATGGGAATGGTATACTTACAATGAAGTGAAGGAATTAACCCTCATACCAATGATCAAACAACCACTAGAATTAATATTTGATGGAATACACCAATATTTTGTCAAAATGCAAGAAGTACAACAAGAAGAACAACTCGCTGATGATTATATAAACTATGAAGCCAAGTACCCTTACGAAGAAATAGAAAGCTTAGTAGATGAGGACGAAATTCAGGAAAGGTTACCGATAATGACAGACTACGAATTTACTACTCATCATAAACAAGTGGAATCCACATCACGAATTGAGATTCTACAAATAGAAAAATACAAGAAACAACTTGAATATGAAAAAGGCCAAATACAGAATAAAATCAATAGAGTCAACAGACTCCTAAATGGCCACTATAATTACAAATATTTAGCAGCATTCCGACCTAAAGATAGAATGCATGCATCTAGAATATTAAAAGAAAATCCGACACTCAGGAAAATATCGGATTCCGGACTAATAAAACTATTAAAAGACCAAGACTTTGTTTATTCACTTTTGAAACCCAAAACAAAGAAAGAACAATACCAATTAAAGATTCGGCAGATTAAAAATAATGTACAATACGACGAAAAGACCGAATTGTTTGGAACAATCGACCAAATATTTACTGAACATCCAAACATACCATTAGTATGACCAACATTACGGAAAATTGCCTCATAAGGAAATTACCGGCAATGTTTGATCCGGACATGTAGATCGATGTGTAAGCCCCAATTAGGTGATTGTATAGGTGAGCAGCGATCTACAAAATTTGATCAAAAATAAATCACAATAGTACTAAATTAAATGATATCATTTTAATACTAGCTATAAAGAGTTGTCATAATGATTATTTAGTGCTACGTAACTATTTAATGCTAACTGTAAAGAGTATTATAATGATTATTTAATGCTAACTATAAAGAGCTGTTAGCATAATTATTGATTACGTACGATATTTAATTTCACGTTACGCCTGGTGATTGACTAAAACTCACATGGTTACCGTCTTTATTCAATACTACCTGCCTAATTTTACATCGCGTGTATTATGCAAAGAGCATTTGAGAAAGATGTAGATTGTCACTTCTATTCCACAGAATATTTGAGAAATCCTCAAATTGCCCATCAAACGGATAACGGGTACAATATATTATATATTGTACAGTCGACCCGATCAAAACCGATAAAAAATTTGTCTACCAAGTCCTATAAATCTAATAGTGTTATGTTTTCAAATCTGATAACCTCTCAAAACTGATACAAACCTGTCCACCATGCATACCGATTCTGAGATGGTCGACTGTAAAATTAATTGAAATGGTTGGTTAAATATAACCAGTCATTTCACCGACCGAATTTGTGATTTTGGTGATGATCGCTACCGACTCCGGACTTATCGAATCTGCAAATATTCGGTCAGTCAATTTTTTGCCAGATGTCCCAGAAGGTTTTGCATAAAATTATCACGAAATAAGCACAATAGGGATAGATATGCCTACGCACCCGAAGCTAGTAATAATCAATTTAAAAAAAAAAAATACTTAACTAATATATCTAACTCTGACCTTAGCCTCTAAGTTCACCTTAAACCTAAATTTGTAATAATAATATCCTGATCCGTTGGGGATTGACGGAAACTTCATTCGTTAATCCTCCGTGATCTTGGCACAGTGATTGGAGATTATAGCAATTAAATACTATATATAGTATTGTATTATAGGAATAGAAGGGAGGGGGTATTTATAATCACCAGCATGAATATTATTTATTTATTAAAAATTTAGCTAAATTATTATCTCTATTTAAACTATCTGCATAACGTTATTTCGCGATTATATAGTGCAAGATTTGGTATCACTCACGCATAAAATAGTTCCCGTGGGTAAGTATTTAAGCTATTCAGGCAAATTTTTGCATTTGCTTGACTCTTAGTTTATTTTGCCAGCCACATATTCATAGTTTAAGAATTGATTTCGATCCTATATCGATTGCTTTTTTGGTTTTATGCATATAATCGGAGAAGAGATGTATTTTAAAAATATATTTTGTTTCTAGCAACGCAACGATTCGTGAGTCTAAATCTTGATCTTAAGCATATTCAAACATTAATTAAATAGCATTAATAAAATAAACAATATATATAATGTTAATATTTTCAACCTTTTTCTTCGTTCTATACATAGTATCGTTAAAAATCTTAAAAATTTGCTGCAATGTTTTTATATAAAATATTTAAAATTACTCTAGTTCTTAGTTTAATTACTTTACCTAATTATGGATTATATGTACATAAACTAGGTGAACGTAAATTAGACGAACATGAATTAGGTGAACGTAAATTAAACGAACATGAATTAGACGGACGTAAATTAGAAGAGCATAAATTAGAAAAAAGACAAGGTAAGATAAACTTTAAATATTTTTTTTTATTCACAAATAATTGTCCTATTAACTTGCATTTTTATATTTTTGTTTATAACGATTATTACAGATCCAGAACTCTCAATTGGAGAAAACTTTATGTAATTATTTTTTTTTAAAAAAAAACAATAATGGGTTTCAGAATTAACTTTTTTTTCAAAATAAGTGGGAATTTATTTTTTAGAATTCCGAATCAAAAATTTAATGATAAAAATTAAAATTCATCAGTAAACGATTATGTAAATAAGTACATACTTTAAAAAAATAGAATTTGCACGTTGCTTCTTTTGAAGTAACACTTCACTTATTTTATCTGAAATCGGGCGCCGAATCATTAATTCTGAAACCCCCAATGTCACAATAACTCAATGTACCTTAATAATTTGATTTTTTTTTTAACCTTATGTGTTATTATAGGTTGTGAGTATGATTTTTAGATTTATTTGTAAATTTGGTTTATAATTTTCAAATTATTCTCTGTTTGGCATTCTCAATTTAATAATACACATATTCACATGTTCTGATTATTAGGGGGTATGTATAAGCTCAGTCCTGAAGTGAGTATCAATCGACTTTTAAACAAATTTAAACCAAATTTTTAAATAAATAAAATAACATAGAATTATTCATTTAATTATAATAGGATTCGGCTAATAATTAAAGTTACAGGAAATTTAGTTTTTTACAATGTTCTTAACAAATTTTGCATTAATCTTCGGAGTTCAAGTAAACCGGTTATTTACAGTAAGAAATTCATGCGATTTTGTATGATTCCCTAATTTATCGTTATCGTTATTTCATTATCTTCCACTATCTTCACTAGATACACCAACCTGATTGACTGAAAAATTGACTGGATTTTAAATTCACATTTATACACAAGTTTCAGTGAAATTGCATAGAGATTAATAATTGTAATAATTGAACAATTCAATCATTATTGTTAATAAATCATAAAACCATCATCCAGAATGCAATTCTCATAACCGGTCATAGAACTTACACGGGTTACCCAAAATTGGCTAATTGCAAAACTGATTAATATCCCTGCGTACTAATTTTGTAATCTATTATCATAAATTTTAATTATAACACGTTTCACATTTTTTCATCAACCTATTAGACTGTAAATATATTTAAATATTATTCTATGGTTTTTATTAAATTGCTTTTATATAACCATTATTTAAATATATCCTGAATCATTAGAGCGGTGTAAATATAAAATTTATTATGCATCTCTAATTAATTATATATGTCCTAATAATTATTATTTTCCTATATAATTATCAGATTGCAAGTATAACCTTATTTTTTTTAGATTGTGCTTTTATAATCATGCATATATAACTTATTCTTCTATTACTGTATTAGCATGTAGGTTAAAAAAGGACTCATTCTTAATTGTATTTTTTTAATCAACTTTTATAATAAGACACTTTCTGGTGGATTTTTAGACCGTAAGTGTAGATTTATTCTTAAATGACTTTAGATGATTCTTTTCTAATTTGCTCTATATAACCTAATAATGTTCACGTATATTCTTCTATTGAATTTTTAGAACGTAAGTGAAAATTTGTCAAATTTATTTAAATGATTTTTATATTATTTTTTTTCTAATTTACTCTATAAAATAATAATGTGCATATATAATCATTTGCCGGATTATTAGAACGTAAATATAAAATTTATTTAATATTTCTGAAATTATCAATTTATGTTTCTAATAATATATAATTTATATTAAATCTTTAGAATGTAAGCATAAACCATATTATATTATTTCTGTGATTATTAATTTACAATGATAATTCTTAATGTTTTCTTTTTTGTTGAATTATTAGAACGTATGTGTTTTTATTTTTAAATTACTCTTATAACTTAATGCTGCAAGTGCTTACATATCTTTTTGAATTATTAGTGAAAAATTTCTCCTGTATTTATCAATATTGCCAAAATTATCAGTTTGTCATTAAATTGTATTTCTCTAATTGTAAATAATACATTTCTTTCCCATTCTTACCAGACCGTATGTATAAACATCATTATATTTATATTCCTTTAATTGATTTTTATAATTTAAAAATATAAATTTTCATACATTCTTCTATTACATTATTAGTGAGGGGTATAATTTTCAATATTATTCATTTTAAATTATCTATTTTCAAAATTTAATGCATTACTGACATTTTTTTGATTTTCCGGATTATTAGTGAGTGTGTATTGCATTTATTTATTATTATTAGATAAATTTTAAATTATTTGCTAATTAGCTTGCTTTGCTTTTGTTAAAGGACGTAAGAGTTGCATATATTTATTACTAATACAGTAATATAGTTAGGCCTCTTTAGATGCAACTCCTAATGTAATGCCCCTATATGAAATCTCAAACACTGACTCAAATATATACTAGATCCATAAATTTAGCTTTTTTGTGATTCTTTAAATGCAAGCTTCAAAGCTTGTCCCTACGAGTCGCATTTAGAGAGGCTAATTTTATTATGATTTGATTTTTAACTGCAACTATATAATGGTTTTTATAATTTAATTATTAGAGTGTAAATATTCGCTTATTTATTTT